TCAAACGCGCGCCAATGTTATCACTACAACGATCTGCCGAGATAGTTACCAATGCTCTGATTTGAAATGTCCAAATCAATCAATCAATAATTAATTATTTATTATCACATTCGCAGTCAAATAAACACACATCAATAATTAATTCTCAATCCACGATCAATCAATTAACATTTCTACTCGCATCGCTCAACAATAACTTCAATTCGACCCTCTCCAATCCTGCAGCTCCATTCCGCGCATCCGCATCGTCTGCACACGTCTCTACTATGTCGTTCTTGCCGGGTTTTTCGGAGATTGGCGGATATTGTGCTGCCGATTTCGGGCGACCGCCAATTTTGCCCGTCACCGTGTTGATGGCCAGCGTCTCCACGTTGGAGATAGGCACTTCGACGGCCAGACTCAGCAGGAAACCAACGAAATACGCCATTGTCACGGCCACAGCGAACAGATAAAACTACAAAATAACTAATTAATTTCTGTTTTTTTAACTTTTACTTACTGCAAACTTTTACTTTCAGTTACTGCAAAATTAATTAATTTCTGAAAATTTCTTTTTTTCAAATCTCCTCATTTTTCTCACAAACGAATAAACACCCTAAAAACCAACCATTTGATAGACTGTCGTGAAGTGAAATGGATGCGGTCGACTTAAATTATAGATCTGCAATAGGATCGGGTGGATCAAGTAGGCACAGAACGTGATCCGGCTCAGTGGGATCCAGGCACGCCATGAGAGCAGCGAATTCACCGGTCCTGCAACGAAAACCTCCTACCGTAATCACTTCAGTTTCAAAAATAAAGGACCGACTCTGTCTGCAATATAACATTACTGTTTGACCCCGCCCATAACTCTGATCAAACCAACGCAAAACCGCTCTGCGACTCCGCCCACGAAACCGCTCTGCGGCCCCGCCCACGCAGGCAAAACCAACCGCCAATGCACGACCACTCTGCGACTCCGCACACAAAACCACTCTGCGACTCCGCAGACAAAACCACTCTGCGACTCCGCAGACAAAACCACTCTGCGACTC